AACAACAACAACAACAACAACAACAACAACAACAACAACAACAACAACAACAACAACAACAACAACAACAACAACAATAATAATAATAGTAGTAGTAGTAGTAGTAATAGTAATAGTAATACTGGTTTCTCGAGAGCATCAAAACCTCCACCAACACCAAAATCACCAAAATCACCAAAATCACCAAAATCGCCAAAATCAACAAAACACACAAAACCGCAACAAACAATACCATTATCGAAAATAATATACAATAAACCAAAATTAAACGACTCTAGCTCTTCAATGATCGTAGGATCGTCTACTTTATCCGAGAAATCTCCTCATTTCAATAACGAAAGCATCCACAACAAAATCTCTCACAATGCATCATCATCAATATCATCACCATCACTATCACCATCACCACTATCACCATCACCATCATCAAAATCATTGCATTCATCGCAGCGACTTCCACCACTCAGTGACTTGATACTTTTCTATTACGGATATCCGAAGCATCGGTTAATCATTGAAGCTGCATATATTGTAATACGAATTGAGCATGGTGAATGGGTTAGTGATCATGAAAGATGGTCAATCAGATCGAAATTAGGTGTTGAAATTTGCAGGATTTTTCCACCTGGTTCATTAGATTATCTCAGTTGGCAGGCATTGGTTGACTTATGGAGGAGAATTCCTGATTGTGTTGATCCACCTTATTTATCACCTTCGACTAATATAATGCGAACTGCTGTCGTTTGATTTAAAAGAATAAATAAACAACTTTCATCTGTAATTATTTTACGTAACATACCTTCTGTAATTATTATCCACGTAGCATATCTTAGTCACTGGCATTTATAGATTTACTTCATTATATTCTCTTATTTTTCGCAACTTTCAGTTCTAATTCGTAAACTTTCTTAGTACTTTGTTTCTTTTTGGCCTTTTTTTATATCATCAATTTAATAATGCATAAAAATTCTTCATTTACAAGTAAATGATGAATAAAATCAGCAAAAATCATTGAATAAATAAGTTGTTTCTTCCAAAAAAAATTCACATTATTATATCAATATCAATGTCAATATCGATTCAGAGTTCATTCCGATTCCAATTATGGAAATTTAATGGTTAAAGAATCATGAATGTATATTGGTATGGTGCAATTTACCTAAACTCATCAACAAATTTTATCGTTATGTTCTAAATTCTATAAACTTTTAGCTATATCGATATAGGAAAATTTAATCCAATAAAAGAATTAAGAATACCTATTCTATCATTTATTGGATTAAATTTTGTATTTACTTCTTACGTACGCAGTTAAAAATTTTATAGAATTTAGGACATAAAATTTGTTGATGAGTTTAGGTGCATTGTATCATACTGATAATTTCGTATTTTAGAGTTATTCTTCGCGTAAGCGTTCTTTTGTATACCTTCTTAACCAAGGTTTAATAAAAATTTCAAGTTCTAGGCTTTGTGTTTAGATTAATACTAACGCTAACGCTAACGCTAAACAGTGTTGTCGCTTGGACGCAAATCCAGCAACTTGATTGGTCTGGACAAGTGTCCAGACCAATCAAGTTGCTGGATTTGCGTCCAAGCGACAACACTGATCGTGATACTAAGTGTACAATCACCGGCGAAAGTAATGGCAGTAAGATTGTTATATAAATTTTATTACAAAACTAAAATTTTTTATAGAAGCCAAGTACGTATATAAACAATAGTACCAGATTTCTAGCAATAACAATTAAAAAAATAAAAATGTGATGAATTTGCGAAAATCTAATATGAACACATCACGGCAAGTCATTTTCCCGATTGCAGGTTTTTAATTTTATCATACAGTCAGACCTCCCTAAGTGCAACTTGTCGGGACCATACAAAAACTTGCACTTAGAGAGGTATTGCATTTATGGAGATAAAAATACATATATCTTATAAGTTGGGACTAAATTAGAACGTGCATTTAGAGAATAATTGCACTTAGAGGGGTTGCACTTAGGGAGGTCTGACTGTATTCGCCTCAAAAATACGTATTTATCAAATTTTTTAGTTACAAACTTTTAGAACCTTCGAACTTGCATTGATATTGACATGGAAAGAAACCCTGTAAAAAATAATCAGGCAAAATCCGGTTTTTTTAGTTCCGGAAAACCACAGGTATAGTTATTGTTCACGACGTAATTATCCAGAATGTGCTACTGTTGTACCTGTTTTTGTCAAACCAAAACCAAATGTGGACGGAGATGATTATTTCTTTTTATAGTTAAGATAATTTTTTTAAACATAAACAAAATAATTTAAATTGATATTTTTCTTATAACGATAATATCAACCTAAAAAAGTTGAAAATACAAAATTTTAAATTGGATTATCTATTTAGAAAGCTTTTACTATTTATTTTATATATTGTTAAAAAACCAGTTTCAGCTAAAAAAAATAAATAAAAATATTTTAAAATTTTTATTTATATTTTTTAGTTGAAACTTGTTTTTTAACAATATATAAATAATAGTAAAAGCTTTCTAGTTAGATAATTCTCTTTAAAATTTGTATTTTTAACTTTTTTAGGTTAATATTATAAGAAAAATCTATATAATATCAGAAATTATAATTCAATAATTATATAATTCTGTTTCGATTTTCTGGTAATAATTTAATATTACATTTTTTGTAATTAATCAATAAAATAATACAACCAATTTTATTTATTATTTGATTTATATTATAATAATTCAGATTAATTTAACACCAATTTAAATATAATAAATATTAATCAATAAAATTATATTTATATAATACAGTCAGATCTTTCTAAGTACAACTTGTTGGAATCATACAAAAACTTGCACTTAGAGAAGTATTGCATTTATGAAGGTAAAAATACATATATATCTTATAAGTTGTGACCAAATTAGAACGTGCATTTAGAGAATAATTACACTTAAAGAGATTGCACTTAGAAAGATCTGATTGTAAATATTTATACAATTTATTTCAAATTTGAACTAATATAAAAAGTAATCAAATTTAAATATTTATCTCTTAAATTGTTTCTTCTACAAATTTGTTTTGTATTTTAAATAAATAAAAGTTAATAAATAAAATATTTTTAAATAAATATATTATTTAAATTAAATAATATTTATTATATTCTAATCTTTTGTTTTTTGAAAATTTGATTAGTAGTTTAATAAAGCTTATTTTAAAAAAATAAAGTATTGATTTGATTTTTTTAAATTTTATTTTTTTAAAGTATTGAAAAATTTTAAAAATAATTAATTTTATTGTTAAATTATGATTTTTAATATTTTTTTCATTTTAAAATATTCTAAAAAAATTATTTTAATTATAAAAGAAATAATTATCTCTATTTATATTTGATATATTTTCTGACTAAAATATTAAAATAAAAAATTTCTATTAATAAAATAATAAACTAGTTCATATTTTAAAATTTATTTATTAATTTTTTGTATTATATAATATTTTAATAATTAATTTATCTATAAATGTATTTGATTTAAATCTGATTAAGAATTTATAAATCATTTTCAAGAAAAAAGATATTTACTTTTTATAGAAATATTAAATTTTAATATTTATTATATAATACTTTATTATATAATTTAATACTAGCCAATCAAATAATTATATTATATTTTAATATCAATTTTATAATTTTATAAAACTAAAATTTTATAACTTCTTTAAAACTAAAATAAATTAAAAAATTTTCTTATTAAGTTGTAGCTTTATTAAAAAGCTATTAATTTATAAGAGAAATTTTTTATTTTAATTCTTGGTTTAAAAATTATAAGAGTTTATATAATTATATATCAAATTTTTAACTCATATATAAAAATTATCAATTTGAAAAAGAGTTTTTTATTTAATAATTTATTCAAAAGATTTTTTTATTTTCATATTACATTATTATTTTAATTCTCTCAAATCGAATGCAAAAAATGAAAATACCAATAATATATAATACTTTTTGTAAGATAATTAAAATTAAATATTTTATTCTATATAAATAATTAAATTAAAAAAAAATACTTATTATAACTGATTTCAAGATATAATTTGAAGTGAATGAAAGAATCTTGATCAAAATTCATTTTTAATCTAGCAAATAGTATATCAAATCAAATTAATAAAATTATAGATAATAATTATATTATATAATAACAAAAACTGAAATATATATTTTTTACATTTTAAGTTATCTATATTATAAATTTTAAATAAATAAAGTAAAATTTGGTGAATTTTTATATATTATGACTAAATTTTAGAGAATTATATTACAAATAATATATATTTCTGGATTAAAATTCGATGAAAATCTGATTAAAAATGAGAGAAACAATATCTCGTGATTCAAATTCAATTTGGATGAAAATATACCATTCGATTTGTTTAGTCTTGATGAATCAAATAGTGATATTTTCATATTATATAATAATAAAAACTGAAATATATATTCTTTACATTTTAAGTTATCTATATTATAAATTTTAAATAAATAAAATAAAATTTGGTGAATTTTTATATATTATGACTAAATTTTAGAGAATTATATTACAAATGATATATATTTCTAGATTAAAATTTGATGAAAATCTAATTAAAAATGAGAGAAACAATATCTCGTGATTCAAAATTCAATTTTGATGAAAATATACCATTTGATTTGTTTAGTCTTGATGAATCAAATAGTGATATTTTCATCCTAATTGAACTTTTGGATCACAAAATATCACTTTTCAAAGTTATTAGATTAATTTTTTGCTCAAAATTAAAATGAATGTATTATTTTCAAACACACTATCATTAAATTTACCTAGTTTTGGTGAATTCGATGATATTAATTTTTACAAAATTTGTCTGATAATTCATAAGATATCAATCATGTTTTAATGTTATTGATTTTTTGAAAAACTTAATTTAATTTTGAACACTTAACTTGAAGCATGATATCTCATGATCCACCAGGTCAAATTCCACCAAAATTCAGTTACTATTTCACTAAATTCTAATAAACATGTGGATTTATTTTCGTCCAATCTGGTTAAGTGAGTCATGAAATATTAATTCATTTTTAAAGAACGGGAAAATAAGAAAATTTGTCCAATAACTTTTGGACATGATTCACAAGTCCAATCCAAATAAATATCACTATATATATATATTCGATTTGTCAAGTTTTGATGAATCGAATGGTGTATTTTTGTCCGGGTCTGATCATCAAATTGCGAGATCTAAAGTTGCCGGATATTTTTTTTATTTCACCGTTTTTTCCGATTTCATCAGATTTTAATCCGGAAATTTTATAACTAAGCCTGTGGTTTTCCGGAACTAAAAAACCAAATTTTTGCCTGATTATTTTATAGGGAGAGTACACCAAGTACTGATATTTTAGAGGCCTACTCAGAGGCACTTTCAAAATAATTTTTTCACAATTTAAAAAATGGTCGCCATTATTTTCGCCGGGGATTGTATTACCTTATAATTTTCGCATTACTAATTTCCCCAAGTTCTGATTGGATAAAAGTAATTTCCATCGCTGAATGGTTGGTTGCACACCAGGTCTTTTAAATCAACCAATAAAGATGCATAAATTTTTGATCAACCCGGAAAAAAAATCTGACACAAGAAAATTAAAAGGCGAATAATGTGAAAAATACAGAAAACGAATGGGTAAAAAACCTGGCTCGAAGCACTAATAAAAAATGTCGGGAAAACAA